TGCCAAGTCTGTAAATCATGGCACACTTTACACTCATCTGTCTCAAGCTCAACTGTTGGCAAATAATACAGGTTACCACTCTCATATATGTCAAACCTGAATCCATCTTTGTCCATCACATGACAGTTCACCTGCTGGAAGGTGATAGTTGCTCCTCCATTTATGGCTCTTGCGACGGAGAAGATCTCTTGTGGATACGACGGCATGTAGAGTGCTTCTCAAAGCTTGCTCTTTGCTGTCGTCCCTCATTGTCTAGAAGGTAGCTCACCGCAGTTCCTCTCTGTTGTGCCATCCCAGTGCATCTGGTTCCATCTGCTAGCTCCACAGAGTGACTTTCAGGCTGGAATGTGCTGTCGAAGCTTATAAACTTTGTGATGTCGTTGACGATGTGTGATGTCGCGCCCGCGTCCACCATAATGCCTTTCTTCTTTACATTGTCTGGTGGCCTGTATTCCTTTGTGTGTTTGGCCTTGAAGAGTCTGTTGTTTTCTTCATCTCATTCTTCTGATACTTTTCTGGTACTTTCCAATCCCTCCTTTTTCTTGCATACAGATTCATGGTGTGTATTACTTCTGCCGTAGCTGCACCACAACTTCCTGTAACACATTCTTCCTTTGTGTCCCTTTAGTCCACATTTGTAGCACTTCATGTTAGAGTAATCATCTTTTCTGTCAGCAGCGAAGGTTTTGCTTGAGTGTTTGTTTGGTTTTATGTGAGTTTTCATCACATTATCTGTACACTCTGTTTTCTTTATTTTTTCTGATTCTTCATAGACTCTTAATCTTCTTTTAAAATTTGTGAATATGACTTCATCTTCATTTTGCGTCACATGTACAGCCAATGGTTTGAATGAGTCTTTTAGCATCATGGCTATAATTAGTCCATCACTTAGGGTTTCTCTTGCATCTTTTAGGGCTGTAATAATGTTCTCTGCCCTAATCAGGTAATCGGTTACAGTATCATCGTCAGACATTTTTAGATTGATCAAGGATGTATATAAGTTTATTATTCTTGGCTTGCTTTTTCCAGAATAGTGTTCTTTTAGTATCTTCAAAGCATTTCTGCTATTATCTTCGGCTTCATGTCTTATTAGAGACAGGCTTCTATCATCTATTAGCCTTATTAGCTCAGCGTAGCAATCCGCTTTTTTCTGGCTATCTTTTGCTCGCTGCGCATCACTTGTAGATTCTTTCAAAATAGTCTCTTTTAGCTTCAGAATGTGCAAATGTCCAAGAAATCTGGTTACCCATAAATCATACTTGTCGTCCGATCCATCAAAAAATAGCTGTGGTGATGCCATTAGTCCTGCAGCTCTGTTTGCCATCTTGCAAACTTTTTCGCTTCAGCAGCTCTCGCGTAATATGTCGCGTTAAACTTAGTGGGGTACTCACTTATCTCAATGCTAATGAGCTTAGCATAGCTTGCAGAAGTCCCGCTCACTCCTTGTGGCCTTCTTCCCAAAAGAAAACTGTTCTCTGATCGGTACTCTGCTTCCTGGGCCCATAATCTGTTGAATGGATTGTAGCGCAGAGGTGCCGGCATTGCAGAGAGACAGAAACAAGTGTCATTGGGTCTCTTCAACCTCTTTCTGGCATATTTATTGAAGACCTTCAGTGCTGTACGCACACAGCTCGTGTTCACAGAACGCCATTTTTGTCTTCTTCACTCAAGACATAATAACGTAACGCACGTACATACCAGAAATATACAAAATAAAATACAACAGTAGGTGGCAGTATTAGAACACATTTTTGAATAAGAGCGTCAATAACAATAACGTTTAACACTTATGACACAAGCTGTTATGATCCACAGTGTCAAAAGCTTCAGACAGATCTAAGAAAAGTACAGCACAGTAATCCTTACCATCCAATGCTTCAACAATGTTATTAAAAACCTTCAGTGAAGCAGTTGTTGTGCTGTTTCCTGAAACCAGATTGAAGGAGAGGTAAGATGTTAAAAGAATCCAGGTAATTTATGATTTGAGAGTTTATCAGTTTTTCTAGAACCTTGGGTAAAATGCAGAGTTTAGAGATTGGCCGATAGTTCAGTGAGGTGGGGTCACCTCCCTTCAGCAAAGGAAGAACAAAGGCTGTTTTCCCAGCATCTGGAATGGAGCTTTGGCTTATGGACAAGTTAAAGATGTGGGTCAAAGGGACTGCAATGATATGAGCGGCCAGCCTTAAGAAATAAGGTGGAAGTTCATCTGGACCAATCAGTCTGAGTTAAACTGAGTTAAATCAAATCAAACCAGTTTAAATTGAGTAAAACATGAAGTCATAGAGTTAAAAGTTGAACTGAGTTAAACTGTGTCACACCAAACCATACACCCATTATCTTTACCCACTTCTTCTTGTTGGGTTCACGGTGTAGGAGTTGTGCTTTCCCTGGTCTCTGTCTCCCTCTAGTGTTCTACACTTGTCTGCTCCCCCTCTGATGTCTTGCACCTGTGATGTTTCACAGGTGTTTTGTGTTAGTCTTGTTAGTGTGTGTATTTAAGTCTGTTTGCCTGCGTCCCTCATTGTCTGGTCATTGTCTAACTGTGATGCTCCTTGTGTCCTGCTCCTCGTATCCTGCGTCTTGTCCCATGATTCATGTAAGTTTGCTGCCCCATCAGCCATCTTTATTTTGTAAAGAATAAATTATTTCAATCAACCTTTATTGATTGAAAGGTTGATTGAAATAATTTATTCTTTACAAAATAAAGATGGCTGATGGGGCAGCAAACTTGCATGAATCATGGGACAAGACGCAGATTTTATTTATTTATATTCCTTGAGTCTTGCCTGCCTGCCTGCACCAAATGGGTCTCCTGACTAGAAATCATCACAGAATGACCAGACCAAACCAAGACCCAGCAGGCAGCCCGACTCACACTGCTCTGTCCCTGGAAGACAAGCTGCGGGGTCCTTTTAGAGACTGAGCCTCCAGCTACACCCCCGGAGCTTCCTCGGTTCCTGCTTCTGGCTCCTGAGGTCCTCACAGCTGCAGCCCCTGTGGTCGCTCCCATGCCTACTACAGTTTCCATAGTTTTTCCCATCTCCTGCAGCCTCTGCATCATCCATGCTGTGTGAGGATCCCACCTGTCCTGAGCCCACAGACCCAGACACGTCTTCTCCAGATCCTGTCGCTGCACGCAGCCCCCGAGGTGGATCCCACGCTGCACGCAGCCCCCGAGGTGGATCCCACGCTGCACGCAGCCCCCGAGGTG